TGCATTATGCACTTACTTTTAGCTGGGAGTGATATGTTTTTTTTTCTAGGTTTTCAGATGGGACAGTAAAGAACAATGTATGTGATTCAACACAACCAAAATTGAATGGTAAAAAAGTAAAGGTCCCTGTTCCACGCCTTTAGGCTATAGGGCATATAGGGCTAGACCTATGTTTTTATAGACTAATCAACTCAAGATGGGTTATGTGGTCAATATCACGCCGGCCGACTTTACATCCCGGGACTGTACCTGGTATCCTTTTAAGGCTGAGTCGATCTGCTTATTTATATGCAAGTTCCTATTCTCTCAAGCCGGCTTTGTCAGGGAGCGAACCCACGACCTTCCGATCCGCACGCGAGCGTCTAGCCACTACGCCACGGTGACTCCCGAAGTTAAATGGACTTCACCAAAAGCAATCCGCATAGACCACACTGCAGGGCACACATCAGACATCAGGTATCTCATTTCGCCGGTGTAAATTTTGAGTTATGAGTTATACGAGTTACCTTATCTTGACACCACTCCGGACACATACATATGTGCTCAGATTCCCCTCTCAACATATTCATCAGCGTCGCGCGGTTAATAGTGCTAGTCCTATGATGGTGAACAAGACTTCGTGAGCGTCCGAGGTGATTGGGTATACCGATCTTTACTCCTAATTCTCGTATTCTTAGCACTAATGAGGACACGTTGTTTCCAAAACGTCCTATCTCTCTAAGGGCAATGACAATGTCTGCGTGATCCATGGGCCGGCCATCTTCAATTATTGCAGTACCTGCCAGTCTATGAGCTCTTTCAATACCAACAACGCCTGCATGCCCTGGGACGAATATGAAGGTAACTGCACACACAGCTGTTAATTTTACGTAGGTTAGCCTTTGATAATGTCCAAGTATGGCACTGGTAGCACAGTGTTGGTCTCAATTTGCTGTTTATAATCTGTTTCTTGGCGCTCATTCTTTGGATCTCTTAGACGTTACAGCAGCCTTAAATATAACTTTTGAGGTTGAATCGGATATCTAGGATTTGCGTGTTCAGCTTGCCATCCAGCGTGTGATTCTTGAAATCTCTCATTCCGCGCCGTCTTCAGAGCGTAGGTTGGCTACAGAGCACCTACTGCTGTGTTTTTGGATATCACGTGCTGAGACCCTAGTCTCTTCCACGGCATGACTCTCGTACTGTGCCCGAAAGCCATGAACAAAAATGTTTAACAACACCCGGCCCCCCAGTGCCTCCCTTGCATACATGTCGTAAAAGGCGACTAATTAGGGATGTTTCCCACGAATTGGGAGCGCATCTGCTTCAGAGGCAAGGAACCAACAGCCTGCATATAAATAAGTAGAACTGTAACGCCAGTCCTGCATGATGCTGGCTGAGCGCAACCCGGAAGCTCTAAGACACACCATGACATCCCATAATCCCTTTCTGAATGTGTATGTTGGCCAATCTAAACTGCGCCCTCCCCACCCCCCACCCCTACCCCCACCCCCTCGTCACCAGCTATGTATGTTATTTTTAAAAATATGTTTGTGCTTATAAATCTGTTGTTATTTTAAATATTTGGTCGGCCATTCCTCGCATTATTATTATTATTATTGCTATTAGTATTATTACTACTGATATTAACCTCTTTCACATGGCCTGTACTTATTTGTATTTACAAAATCATTTTTATTATTATTCCTTTAGTTCACTTATTTATAAATGTATTCATTGTGAATTCTTTTATTTATAAATGTAATAATTTATTTGTTCATTGATACATTTCTTTATATTGAATTAATTTATTAATTATTGTTATTTCTTTCTTAGTTTGTTCTCCCATTTGGGTCAGTCGCTTGGGAGGGAAAGGAATCGATCACGTTCAGACTGTTCAGGTAAGCCTTGGTTATAGATGTGGTCTTTATTTATTACAGTAATTCTTCTTCTTCTTCTTCTTCTTCTTCTTCTTCTTCTTCTTCTTTTTCTTCTTCTTCTTCTTCTTCTTCTTCTTCTTCTTCTTCTTCTTCTTCTTCTTCTTCTTCTTCTTCTTCTTCTTATTCTTCTTATTCTTCTTCTTCTTCTTCTTCTTCTTCTTCTTCTTCTTCTTCTTCTTCTTCTTCTTCTTCTTCTTCTTCTTCTTCGTCTCTGTGTTCGCCAGCTTTAAACTCCGGCGCAAAGTTCTGGTTGACTTAAGTCATGTTCCTAAACCTGAGTGCTGCGTGCAGATCCGTTTTACACATCTGGCTTATTTATATGCAGAATTTTGGTTCCTTTCCTCTCGGGCGGATGTACTCTGACATAAAAGAAAAATAATTAGTTAATTTCTTTTTCAATTATTTATGTATTCTAATTTTATTCCGTTGATTTATTGAAAATGATGCGTGCAAATGACAGACTCTTTTCAGAATTTTGTGGGGAAATATTTCGGGGAAGTAAAACCGACCAGGCAAGATTATTGCCTGTTGTCAAACTGTTTATCAGAAGCTTGTGTTCCCCCCCCCCTCCCTGTGGGGTCTAGGGCCCCCTTTTGGGGGACTTGGGGGGTTGGAAAGACCTATTGCCTCCCAACAAGCAGGTCGTAAGAGGCTAGTAATTAGGAATGTTTCTTGTCAAGTCGAAGTGCATCTGCTTGAGAGGCAAGGAACCAACAGTCTGCGAACAAACAAGCCAGATCTGTAAAACATATGTGCAAGCAAAACTCACGTTCTGAACAAGACAAAATTGCAGAAATGTACGAACAACCATAATTTTTCTACGGAGTTTACAGATGATGAAGATGAAGCAGAAGTATAACCTAGTACATGTGAAAGATATCTCTTCACAATCGAACAATTGCATTTATTATTGAGCCATTGTTAGGTTTTTGTTTACTGTGTAGACCAGTGTTTCCTAAACTGTTCTTAGTTGCAGCGCCTTTTTTTAAATTAAAATTTTTTTGCACGGCGTCCTAATCTTAGTAAATGTATGACTATTCGTATGTAAGAGATAACAAAAAAAATCGCTGGTGTTGACATTAGTCCCAAGCAATAAGCAGAAAAGACTGGATCCGGAGAGACGGGTTCGATCCCAGCTATAGCCGATGTGGCAGCAGACCGACTTGCGCTGGTTTGGGCGGTGGTATGGAGAGTCCACCGTTGAGGAGGCAGAGGCAAACTACCGATCGTCAAATTGCCTTGTGAAATCGCAAACAGGAAACAAATACTGCGGTTGGTTCTGCAACGTCCTGGAAAGTACATCAGTACTACTTTCAAATTACAAAACAAATTGTAACTTTTGTATCAGTATTGCCAACACTATGCTATCAGTGCCAAACGTGGACACTTACATCCTTGTGACAACAGAGATGAAATACCTTAGAAGAGCTGCAGGAGTTTCAAGGAAAGACAGAATACGAAATCACGAAATCAGACGAATGCTAGGAATAATGCCAGTCTTACAGGTCATCAAATAATAACGAATGAAGGGGTTTGGACACCTAACAAGAATGCTCTGGTACTATCTGCCACAGCGAGCCACACTAAAACGATACAACGGGTATAGAGCGAGTGGAAGACCTCGGAAAATATGGAGTGATGCCATTATGAACGGCCTTACAGAAATGAACATCAGTCTTAATAGTGCTCTTGACAGAGCTCATCAACTAATGTTACATCCAACCCCCACCCCCAGCCCCCAATGCCTCCCTAGCATGCATGTCGTAAAGGCGACTAGTAATGGATGTTTCCTACGCAGTCGGCGCTCATCTGCTTGAGAGGCGAGGAACCAACAGCCTGCATATAAATAAGTAGAACTGTAACGCCAGTCCTGCACAATGATGAACTCGCTGAGCGCAACCCGAAGATCTAAACCATAGAGCCGCACCATGACATCCCTGGGGTCAGCCTACCCTCACCACCATATTACCTTTCCCCGACACTTCGTTGAGGTACAAGGTGGAAGAGAAGAGGAAGAAGTATCAGTATTAATTTCTTTTGACCGCCACATATGTTCACAGTGCTATGAAAGCTCCTGCCTTTTGTATTCGAATTTTAATATTGTCTATCTTTATCCAGACTAGTGCCCAAAAGTGTGTGTAGAGCCACATCTTGGAGCTCGATATCCTCAACAGAAAGCTGACAACTGTTTGCCTCACTTATTGTCAACTGTATCTTTCCCTTGTGGATTTTAAGGACCTGTTGTTTTGATTTTGCATCAAGTATATTTAATTTATCCCGCGTCTGATTATTCCGCGAGTGGGGCAGAAGAAAAACATCAGATCATCAAGCTGATTGTGTGAGTGTTCACTGAATTCCGTTCCTTGTGTTGGCCGTTGCTGTCTTCCTTAGCCAGTCTGCTGCCGGTGAATATAGGGAAGGTAAAGGTGAGAGGATGGACTTCATTGCACCAGGTTTTATCCCGCTTGACTCAGTCTCTCTCCATACAACAGCTAGCTGCCCGCAGAGAGCGTCGCACAGAGCACGACCCCCTTAACTGAAGCGACGATGCCAGTGGATATACGTGAAAAGTGCACTCCTGAACTGAAGGGCGCCGCCGTGAAACGAACCCACCACCTTCTGAGCCCGAGGCAAAGAGCTTGGCCACTTCGCCACAGTGTGACCCTAAAAATAAGGAACCACGACAAAGAAAAACTCTGTTGCAGACATGTTCTTATTTCAAATGTATCTGTTAGTTTTCCCTCAGAAAGAATTCAACATTTCATGTCTTTATATGTTGCCTTTACTAAGTTAAAAATTTTTCTGTGTGATCACATAAAGCCCCAGCAGCTTCCAGGAAGATTCCCTGTCTATGGCGTCAAAACCTGTTTCCCAGCCTACGATTCGTATGTCAAGTGTTGAATTCAAGTCAATCTTTGCTCTATTATGACGCCTAGTATAACTGTCTGGTCAGTCTAAGGCCTGTTTGGTCGAAACCCTGGTATAACTG